AATCAGTTTCTGATCACTTAAACCGGTTTGTGTGTAGCTTCTATCCCTAGCCCTAGAGACCTCTTGGCTGAGCTTCCCACACTTCACTGTTGCCATTCTCAGGAAGCTTCTCTCAGTCCCTTTGGGAACAAGAAAATGGCTTTTGGTTCATTAGAAAAGTCTCTGGGGATTTTTTCAAGCCTTTGACTCACAGAGCTCTAACAGAGCTAACCTGTGCTTAACACAAGACACATCAATAAACCACAGCAATAGTACTGGTAAACAATATCCTTCTTCAATTCAGTGGGATTAGAAGGCAAGTGAAAAGGCAGAAAAAAAACATTCCCTGCACCTGTCCCTTTTGGCTAATATGTATAGATGGAGCAGGTTCATGAGATCCTTTCCCTTGCCAATTTCTACTCTGGAAACTAGTTGCTTAGTATAGAACTTTCAGGGCAGAATTATGTTTCACTTTATGTGCTTGAATGACAGTTACTTGGTTGCCTAACTGACATTTTTGGCACTTAGATGCAGTTAGCAATCCTGTTCCATGTGGAGTGTGGGCACATGGTTACTGAGCATGTGCTGTAGGCTGCATGCTGTCTGGGCAGATACATAGCTTCATATACATGTATTCTGGGTGAATGTGAGTTGCACAACTCAGCAAAAAACAATGAGTAGCAGGTGCTGCACACCAGAGGAGAAGGGGTCTTTTGATCCTGCTTTGAGCAGGGGGTTGGACAAGATGACCCCTGAAGTCCCTTCCAACCCCTTTTTTTATGATTGTAGTAGTTGAACCTCTGAACCTTGCACATACTATTCATTGGATAAAATGGATCAAAAGCAAGGGAAAGTTTCTCCCCACTAGGAGCAAGGATCCAGGCTAGAACTCAGGACTTTCACACTTCAAGAGCAGCATTCATCACATACCTTTTGGCTACCATATTTCCTCCTGGGCCCGTGTGTCTTCCTTTCTTGGCTGCCCAGGGGCCCCTCCTTCAGGAGGGTTGGAGAAGATACTGGTTAATGTCTAACTTGTAGCCTGTGGTTAGAGGACTATCCTAGGCAATCAGACAATAGCATTCAAACTCCATCTGGGTATAGGTATAGGGGTATAGAACCTGCTTTCCTGCTCCTTGGGTATATACCATAACTACTTAGCACATGGAACAGAATGTGAAACTGCGCAAAAGTCCCCAAAGTGGCAGTTATGTGGCTGGGTAGCTGCCATTTAGTTCTGTAAAGTGAAGTAGGGTTCTGCCTGTAATGTCTTGTCTAGCCAATCACAGGTCTGGAGTCCCAGAATGAGGACTCATGAACTGCACATGTACAACCATGTAAGTAAAGCAGTAGTTGGTATAACAGAAACAAAAATATATGAGTAGGGGTCTACCTAAATTGTAGGGGGGACTTACCAGTTTTTGCAAGTTGATCATAGTGTAAAGTTCTAATTCTGGGGTCATTTCATGGCAGCCCTCCGCTGATTGGTGGAGAAGCACTTTGGGGGGAGGAGGGATAAGTGGGTGGTTACTATCATGATTGTTGGCTGCCCTTTGTGTGGCCCTGTCCCTCGGCACTGATTGGCAGAGAGGCCCTGTGGGGGGAAGAGGGATGAGGGGCAACTGCCATCTTGCCTGCTGACCTTCATGCCACCCCACAAGCTAGCACCTTCCCCTATTGGCAGCAAGGACTGCTGGATCCCACTGGGGAACCAGCATATTGCTTTTATTACATTTTTTGTTGTTGATTTTGTGGACAATCCCGGATTTTTCTGTTAAATTTGTGAAACTGCGAATTAAGTAGGTCTGTATACATGACTCTTGCAGTTGCATTCAGAAGAACATCAATAGGAGGATAGAAAGCTCCATATTTCTCTCTCTCTCTTGCCACAAACACAGGGGTTGTTCCTATGATCTCTAAGAATGATACTGTGGCATTAATTTAGTTTTCAGTATTGTATTCATTGTGTGGAGTCTTGAGGATGGAAAATGATCAATAGAGGGACAAGACGTACTTGAGAAATCAAGGTCATTATCATTTGTAGCTCTATCAGAAATTCTGCCAAGTGCTTTTTACCTTAATTCAGCTCTGGATCCTAATTCTCTCTGTAATTAGTAATTATAGTGCATATTGAAAAAAGCATAGAGGACACAAATTAAAGTGAAGTGAATGTGTATCATTCACATCAAGATATTCAGAATTTACCATTTCTGTTTTATTTTTCATAAAAAGGACAAGCTGATTTATTTTAAATTGCCCCTTGATGCTAATGGCCTGAAAGGTCTGTGAATCTGCATAGAAAGCAGTTATGAAAGCTTGATTACTTTTTGTAAGAATAGTCTCAAACTCTTAAGATATATCCTATGTTCTGATTTCAACTGAGAAACTTCACCTTTCATTATTCTTGAGTATTATAAAGTGAGAGGTGAGCAATTGAAAGTTCCTCATTTGTATCCAAGCTGTGGTCCAATCTATGTCAGAGGAGCATAACAAATATAAAGGGGTTTGTTTTTCCCCCTCATGGGAAATCTGATTCAGGAATGTATTTTGCAATCTTCAGAGAAGTGAGCAAAAATAATTTTTGTTAAGGTTAAGGAATATGCAAATGCTCCCTGAAAAAAAAGAAAAAAAGAAAAGAACACAGAGATGATCATGGATTCTGGCAGAAGACTTCGGGAGTTCTCTTTGAAGTCTGACAACAGGAATCTGTGCCCAGATTTATGCCAGGCTTTAATCTATGAAAACTAAATTAAGGGATAATGAAAAAAGATACTGCTACTGTTACTCATGGCTAGACTGATTACCTTCACATTGTAGGGAGTGCCTATCTCTAATAAAATTACTTTATTAGGTGTATCCCACTGTACCCTGGATGGTACATGTGGACATTTAGGGCAAAATTCTGTTTCATCTAATAAACAACCACATTGAAGCTTGTGACCAATTCTGAGTAACCTGCCTAGGGTTTAGAAAAGATTCTATTACCCCCTCTGGGCATTCCCCAGTATAGGAGTAAGGAGACATCTATGCATCTCCAGGGGATCTCTTGGATCCTATTTTTTTCTTACTTTGATTTCATTGTTACTTCTGGGTACAGATATACAAGAACCAAAAACATCAGTCATGAAGGGCCATGTATTAAAACACTACAGGGACAAATGCAGGGCACACACAAGTATTCAGAAGTGGACTCTAGTAGTTAAAGCTACAGGGGCCACTTACAGAAGGACTTCACACTCTTCAGTGGCCGAGTCTACATGAGACGCTGACTGCACAGTAGCTTGTCCTGCAACACTACTGCACAGTAGTAACAAGCTACTGTGCAGTATAATGAGCTACTGCACAGTCAGCATCACCAAGAAGCCATGTGGGGACACTACCATGCAATAATGCCAGTTGCTACTGAGTCATTTAGTACTTGTGTATGCAAGTGCTAAATGACTGTGCAGTAACAATTGTGCAGTCTGTGTCTTGTGTGCATATGGCCAGAGTGCCACAGAGATCTTTGCAGTTGATCTGTGCAGCTCATTCTGATGGGGAGAATATTGACAGTCCCAAGAGAGCTCCACTGAGCTAATACTTCATGTGAGATGAGCACTGAGCAGTACCTCCCTATTCTACAGCTATGGCTATAGTCCTGCTGGGTATGAGCTGAAGATGATGCTTTAGACAAGGCAAAATACATTTATTTCACATAGCTTCTGACACCACCTGTGTGTGCCTCAGGTTTTACATTTTCAGAAGGGGATGATGATGTTTACTTGCTGAGTAAAGAGCTTTGAAACCTCTTGATGCAAAGTGCTGTATTTGAGCTATGGGTTGAGAGAACTATCAAAATCATCCCCAAAAGTAGATGGTAGGGGTTAAAGCTGCAGGGGTCAATTACAGAGCTGCTACTTGATCATTGTAAAACCTCCTTTCATATATCTGAATGGTGGATGAGAGACAAGACATGTGTTATTTGCTGCACTCTTGCATTTCTTCAGCCTTCTAAGCACCTGACCTGGAATCATGTGACCAGTTTTGAAAACAAGGTATCATCTCTGTAACAGGGCACTGGATATGGTGTGCGTTACGGAGGGAAAAGGGGACAAACCACCTGGAGTGGCAAGAAGAGAATTTACCTGCGGTACGACCAGGGCCAGAGAAGTGGAACAATGGGGAGCACTGGGAACCTAGGTGACCTCAGTGAAGTCCCACAAAGGCTCTGGCAGAGCTGCATGTGGGAGCAGGGCCAGGGCGAATTGGGTCCTGGGGGAGGAGCCGAAGGATAAAAGGGACTTGGGGAGAGAAGGCAGATTGTACCCAGGGCAGGGGCCAGCCAAAGAGACTGGAACCAAGACAAGAGGAAAGACTGTAGTGGCAACCCAATGGACCCTGGAGATGCAGATACCTACCAAAGATCGAGGAGGGGAAGCAGCACATGGGAAGAGGAGGTGAACAGCTGTCCAGGCGAGTGCTATGCCAAAGAGCTGT